ATCACTGTATAAATGCATTTTGACAATTTCCTAAAACATATTTACCAATGCCCAATTCTATATCCCAAAGATATATTTATTTTTATTATTTATACATTCAACTTCATTATTTATAGATTTTGCACTTTATTGGTTTTTTTTCCTAGAATGAAAGTTTTAGAAATGCTTATTAGTTTGCTACAGAACTTACTGATTGTCTGCTGCTGATAATTTTAATATTTTGGACTGAAGAATTAGAGGAAGGTAGAAATTTGTTAAATTGTATTTTATGACAACGTATTTTAATGTAGATCATTAAAGTAAATACATAGGTAAAATAATTCTTTGTGTAACTTAGATTTTTCTTTAAAAATTTATAAAATTATTTCAAGGCACTAAATGCAACAAAACTTTCTTAGATGTTATATAAATTAATACTTTTTGCACAATAGTTACCATACACCTAAGATTTAATACTTTGATACCAAAGCATTATTTTTTTGCTATGGTATGTTTTTAAAGTCCTTTGTAAGTAAAAACAAACAAGTACATAAATATAACCCTTAACCCATAAGCTAATATCCAACAAAGTACAGCTATTCTCAAAGAATTAAGATACCTATCACTTAGTTTTAAAAAAATGAAATAAACTCTGGCTAATGTGGCTCAGTTAGTTGGACCATCAGCCCAGGAACCAAAGGGTCTCTATTCTCTAGTTCCATTCTGGTCAGTGCACATACCCAGGTTGTGGGTTCGATCCCTGGTTGGGCATGTACAGGAGGCAACTAATCAATGTTTCTCATGTTTCTCTCTCATGTCCATGTTTCTCTCTCTCTCTTTTTCTCCCTTCCTCTCTCTCTCTAAGATCAATAAAATACATATCCTTGGGTGAGGATTAAAAAATGAAATAAATCTTTGATCACAGAACATTCCATTTTATTCATCAGTTAGCCCAATGTCTGTATTTTAAAGATGTTGAGTGACTTCCTCAAACCTATATTACTAGCTTGTGTCAGACTCAGAATAAGACTCCTAAGTTTAATTCACTTTTGCTTTTAAGTACTCCATTCTTAAACTAACTCAGAATTATTTTAAAATTAATTTAAATTGCCTATTGAAAAAGAGAACCTTATATTAGATATTAATCTACAACAATGGAAGTGATTACAATGTTATATATTAATATTCATCTAAGATAGCAAAGCAATGGCATTTACCTTAAATTTACGTCTCTGCTCTGCACAGCTGTTGAAGAACCACAAGTCTGTCTCATGGCTGTAAATGTAACAAGAACAATAATGCGACCAATTTCATACCTAAACTAAATTAAGTAGATCTGTCATAGGCTAGAAAATGGATAATGTATTTTACAAAATGTTTTTAATTACAGATTATGGAAGTGTGCATGTGTGCATAAAACAATGTGAACTTACTCTTTTCAATCAGGAAATTCATTTCATGAAATTGAAAGCATTACATATTCTCTTTGGCTAACTTTCCTCCTTATAGACCAGTATGGGTACATCACGTCTAGGACGTGCTAGGAGTAGATATAGAAAAGTAAAGTAAATTAAGATAAGAGGCCATCTTCATTTTAGGGTTTGTTTTTCTGAGATACATAGTAGAAATGTAAAAAAGAAAAATCTGGTAATGCTTAGTTTAATAACAGCTCCAATCTGCATCACAATCATTTTATATTAATCATCAATATGTCATTAATCATCAATATGTCATTAATCAATATATTAACTGATTGGCCCTATTTAAGTGGTGTTTCATGCAATGAATTAATATGTAAACATGTTTCAAATACATACATTCAGATATTTATACATGAAAGTGAAATCACTACTACAATCGGTAGGCTCATTAGATGTGATTTTTCTTTCAATTTTGCAGTAGATCTGCTAATATCTATGCTATCTGTAGCAGAAAAATAAGAAAAGTGTAAATGAAAAAGTAATAGTAGATAAATACTAGTCTGCCAGCAATAGACTCTTCGCCATGTCACACTTCAAATCTGGCTACCACTTTTCAACATTTAAAAGAAATTCAGTTGAGTATAACAAGCAACAAATATTGTTCTTGTGACTTGAGCCATCAAAATATTTTTCTAAAATCTGTATTTTCTTTCAAACTTTATAGAATAGTTATCCATAAAAATTATATAGTAAAATGAAAATCACATATCTCTTTTGGTCCTCTTACCAGCATGATCTATTATTAACACCAAATGACTTGCTTTCAAGTGCAGATTTTGAAACATTTTCACTTATTTTTTTAAAATCTAAAAGATAATCTACACCAACTCTATTATGAAAGATTGATTAAACAGTTAAGTAGAAAAAGAGCCTGGCTGGCATAGCTCAGTGGTTGAGCATTGACCTATGAACCAGAAGGTCAAGGTTTGATTCCAGGTAAGGGCTGTACATGCCCAGGTTGCAGGCTCAACACCAGTATGGGGCATGCAGGAGGCAGCCAATCAATGATTCTCTCTCATCATTGATGTTTCTATTTCTCCTTCTCCCTTCCTCTCTGAAATCAATAAAATACATATTTTTAAAAAAGAACTAGACTGTGATAAAATCATAAAAGTTTTAAAGTGCTAATTTCATATTAAATATTTATAATTAGCAAAAATATTCTATCCTTTTCCTTAACACGAGTGGCAAATACATAGTGCAACTCATGTTAAATGATATTTGCAGATGCAAAAATAAGTATTACTTAATATCCCCCATTGACAACATGTGTAAGCTAGTATAAAATGCTATTAGGTTTTTATTAGATTTTTTTATACAATCCCAGCATGTTTCTAGTTGCAAAGCTTATCAGGTACTACAAAATACTAAAAATGTAGAATCACATTATATTAACTGCTGTGTATATTTTGGTGAACAAATAAGTCTTCAGTCATTATTCTAAATTCTCATTCTCAAAAACCAACTTTTCATTCCTATGACATTTTGGCATGAGATCTTATTAAAATTCCCAAATAATAATAAAATTCTATAGTTTTATATCTGTATAATCAAGATATATTTGTGTTAATATGAATCACAAAACACTAATAAGTGACACAATAAACTATAGCAATGGTTAGCAATTGAAGTTGTTAAAAGGTATTTGTAAATTTTTAATCACGCTTTTATAATAAAAATAAAATTGAGGACTTAGGCTCAAAATTTTATTTATACAACATTTGGTACATAAGCAACAATTTATTACTTTAGAGTCATAACTATTCCCATATTAGTGTGTGTGTGTTTTGCCAAGAAAATTATGTATATTTTGGTTAAACAAAGTATAGCCAAATTTTGCCTTTCAATACAACAAAAAGAGAAAATAGAAAAATTTCAGCCCAGCCATTCTTTCCAGAAATATCCTGGTAATCATCAATAAAGAAACTTCTCCTTGACTTAGCTTTGGAGAGTAAGGTACAACTACTTGGTCTAATTCGTCAAGAGACACAATAAGATAGGATTAGGACAATATATATAGTCTCTTTCAGATATTAAAAACAGTAAACTCTTTCCTACCTTTGGCTTATGCTGCGAGCATCTACTAGTATACCTCCTTTGCTATACCGACAAGAAAGCACAGTTCCCAGTTTGAAGCCATAGTGAGGATAAACATTTCGTTTGCTATCTTCTGTGACTTCTATGTAAAATTTTCTCTGTCACATAAACGTATGGAGAGGCTCTCATGGAATCAGATAACTCAATGGAAATGCTCAAATCACTATTATTACTTAGGGAAGTATATGATGGTAAGTAAAATGTCTCACTACAGAATTACTGATCAGTTAAAACAAAAGAACGTGAAATTTATTTTAAAAGAGGAAAAATTAAGATGGATATTAAACTCAGACTGTTGCAGTATAACTCACATACAATCATGGCAGACATCTGTACTTTACTCTGTTAAAAGGCATGCCTCATCCCCAATTCCACCTTCTTCCCACCCACTCCCCCAAAATGGGTTTGTTCCCAAGAAAATATATTCTCATCTCATATCTGTCTAGGGACCATAAATTAATCCAGTTTTTAGGTAATAAGTAGTTTCTGGATTGTGTACATCAGTAGCCTATAATTCTCTGTCAGAAGGCCATCATGTAAGACTTAGTTACTAACATCTGGGAGTACACCTACAAAGGAAAACAGACAGCTAGGCCATAAAAATTTTCAAAATAGTTTTGTTAGAGCAACAAGAAAGATGTTTACTTTAAAAAAAAACTAAGCTTGCTTTATTAGACATGTATGTAACTTGGTTTTAAAAAAGCATTGCTTATCCTCCAGCAGAGCTGATAAACATTTTGAAAGATGTTTTATGCATCTCCAGATACCTTCCAAATATTTTTTCAAATGAAACCTGAAAATGTTTATTTCTTGGAGAAAATGCCCTAAATATTCCTGTTAAGACTAAATAAAACAATGGTTACAGTATATAAGAAAAATTTACTTTAAACGACATACAGACTCTCAGTTCCACAGGACAAACATAGTGGGTAAGGACAACAAACTCCAGAATGTATTTTTATAACTGTAGCAACAGCAATAACTCCGTGGCGAATTCAGTTTTTCTGACAAAATGGGAGGTTTTCTGCATTTGTCACTTGAATACAACTACAGAAGGGTTGTCTAAGCCTGCTTTGTTTTACTCCATACCGTTTTACTATGATTTGCTTTTAAGAAAGAAATGCCACATTTTTACCTGTTTGTGAACTAAACTCCATTCAAATCCCAGAAAGTTTAATGCAAACTTTTATGCCCACGTTCACCAAATGTGGTTCCTACATAATTTTTGCAGTAAGTGACCCTGTAAACTTTTGAAATCTACGCTAATAGAAAATTCTTTCTTTCTCTTTCAAGAAGATAAAGCGAATTCTCTTTTTGAATGGAAATTATCTACATAGGCAAACATCATAATTTTCTGTATGTATACAACTGAGTCTGCATTTCTGTTCTCATAATAAATATGTTTTAAAATAAGACCCCCCAGGACAGGAATACATTACCTACCTGCAGTGGTCTCTGTTTATCACTGCTCTTAGGAGATTTTAATCCACTTGTTTGCTGCTGTAAGAGAAGTTGTCTTGCTGCTTGGAGAGCCTAGAAGTAAAAAGGGAGCAACATCTAAATATTTTGTTAAAGGTAAATTGAGGATCAGTTATTCCCTGGTTACTAGTAATAAGCTTCAATATATAAGAAGCCCATCCAACCCTCCTTTCTAGAGAAAAATCATTAAATATTCTTTTTTTCTAATGTGAAAAAAATTTACATAACACACATATACAAACTTACTTAAAGCCACAGAGATGGCTTTTATCCTGCAGGAAATAAAGTTAATTTGTTTAAAGTGCTCAAAAAGGAAAAATATCACAAACTGCCTCAGTAATCTCATTTCCACAAGGAACTTGTCTTTGAATGTTCCACTATAATGCTCACTCCCTTTTAAATCATCATCAATTTGTATTTTCATATTACAATTTTGAAGCAAAAGCAGTAGACTTCAAGTGTTACCGGAAGCTGTAATTAAATTTGACAAATCGACATCAGATTATCTTGAAAGTGAATTAATAAGGATTTTCACTAAAGATTTAAAATACTTTTTTTGGTAATTGCAATTCAAGAAGAAACCTCTCCTTTGACAAAATAAAGTGCAATTTCAATGCCAAATAAAATTGAGTGGTTTTCATTTACATTTTTAGCAAAATCAAAGAACAAAGAAATTACCACTCAACCAATCAGCTTTATTTCTATGTGTGATAGAACACCAATCAAAATAGATGTTTTCATTTATTTTTACAGTTTCTTTCCAACTCAGGAAAATAAAACAACATAAGAAATTAATGTAAGCATTTCTTTTGTTAGAAGAGAAGCAGTTTGGCCATTATACTGTATAAACTAATATAAAAACTACTGCCATAACAACAACAAAAACCCACATATTGAGATGTTTGAAAGGTTAACAGTATAAACTAATTAAAAAAAAACTTTAAGAGCCTCTACTGTACAAACTTATTTTTCTCTCAACAACTGAGCTCAATAAACATTAATGATGAAATTTGCCAACACATGAAACTAAACCACTTCTTTCCTGTTATTTGCTGTTTTAGAATATGTGATAAAGTTTTCAAGAAGGGCAAGATATTTTAGATTAATTTTCTTCTATAATAATTAAGATTCTAAGCAGAAAAAAGTACAATTTCCATTGGAATCAATGATATGGTTTTTAAGAGAGTTTCTAGTATCCATGACAACAGTTGCTTTGACAAGATGTGCATATGGCATTACACTGCCAGCTGGTGTGAACAATGTTTGAACTACTGCATTGAGATGCTGAGCAAACAGAAAAAGTTGCCATGTCTTAACCCTCAGGGAAGGCAGTCATCCCCTGATCAATTATGAAAAGACAGAAAGGAGGGCTGCTACAGCCTGGCTCCCAGCAAGTTTTCTGAGAAGGCAGCAGACATAGAGACCAAAGTAAACAAACTGCATCCACTCGCACCATCTCCTAACAACATTGATTTATCTTCCCAGAGCAGGATCCGGCGTAGTTTGTAAAGCACACTTTTTGGAAACACACTCGCTCAAAAAATCTCCCTTTTTCCTTATTTTAAATTTTTCAAGTAATCACAAGTCAACCTAAATGCTCCTAAGGATGAATCATTCCAGGGAACTTAGCAATTTTATGATAAAGTTTGGTGTGAATAAAAGACCAAATAAAAATTAATTCCATAAACACTTATCGCAAAACTCAATTTGAAAAATTTCACCTGATAGTCCAATAATATTACTTTCTGTTTAAGTCACAACTTAAAAACTAACTACCAATGATATTTTTTTCAAATGGAAATTGATTTAGGCTGTGTCAATGTGAAAATCTTGAAAAGTAATCAATTAGTTTTCCTTTTGGTGCCAAATCCACACAAAATTTGCCTAGTATTTTTCATATAATTGTTTTCCCCTTTGAGGTCCTTAGTTTATTTTGCATATACTCAGCCTTATTTAGATTATATTTAATTCTGTAGTTGTTTTACTATTTTTCAAGGATTCTAATAAGGGTAGTTCAAAATCTTGAAGTGAAATCATTGAAATAGACCCCCTCATTTTAGCAAATGGGGAAAATAGGCCTGTGCTTTGTTCACAGTATCCAGGCTTCAGGCCAGAGTACATCCCAGTGTGGGTTACTGTCTGTTCTGTCAAAGGAACTGTTTGATGGCAAAGAATAAAACTCTAGCAAAGGAGAACGTATGACAAGAGGGCATACCCATTTATCAGAAACTTGAAAAGGGAACTACAATATAATATTTTATGTTTTCAATTTGTAAATGTTTGAATAGAAAAACTATCACAGGGTATATGTCATTTTTATGGCTAAGTGTTCCCACCATCCTTGTGTTGGACTTCATCACATAGTCTACGAATACGTGATGGGGTGCTACAGTCCTGTAACACTCCAATCATTTGACCAGTTACTAGTCATAAACTGAAAAATTCCAAAGCTGGAAAAAAAACACCTTAGAAATTGGTTATCCTAGTTTTCACATTTTGTAGACAAGGAATTGAAGAACCAATACTATAATAACTTGATTAAAGTCACAAAGCAGTAACAGTCTGGCCAGAAGCTCAGACTCTTGTCTGTCAAGTACAAAACCCTATCCATTTCTGCCTTACATTCAGTCAACTCAACCCAAACAAGTAACCCAATGGAATGAATATATGCAATGCCCAATGGCTATAGAAAGACACTAGAAAATTAGATATATTAGAGTTGTAGCTCATGAAAATATTGCTAGGCAAATAGATACATGTGCACTGTTGTTAAAGTAGTACTACTAATAATAGAATACCACAAGCTATTCGGCTAAATTATGCTTCTACTTGTAAAGTATGTGGTTTGCATGTGCATTTACATTTATCTTTGAAACAGTCAAGGATAATCTTTCAATACAAAAGCTTATGAAAAAGAACACCTTGCCTATTTCAACATTCTCTTTGCAGCAATAGAGATTTGCCATAGTAAACTGAGAGGTGAGAGAACAAAAAACAATTCCAAGAGATCAGGAATGATTAGAAACTCTTAAGCATAAATCTTTTGTAGTTTGCATTTCAACTGCAGGCATTACGTGACATTTTTTATTTCCAGTATTCTGGATAACAGTTTAGGACTTAATTTCAGTAAACAATTGCTCAGACACTTTTAGTTCATCTTTGCAATTTATTATTGTAGCTACTCAAAAGATGAAAGATTATGAGCTAACATTTCCATCAATATAAGGTGTTAGATGTCAAAATACATAAAATATTAATTTGCAAATCATTTGTCCACTTAAACTGGTAAATAGAAATTTTATATACCAGGATCATTCATAAAGTTCTATGAGCTATTTAAGTATTTATATGATCACCCTCCACAAAAAAACAAAAAGTTAATTTAGAACCAAAGGCAAAAGATGTTTGTTTACAAATCTTTCTTTAATATTGTCTGAGCCTGATTCAAATGAACAAGAAAGAGGTTTCTAAGGCAGCCAAACCTATCTAATTTCCAAAAACAATTTATTTTAAATTAAGAGTACACTTTCCTTGATGAAGTTATTTAATTATAGTAAAGCTGAAGAAAACTAAGATAAGACACTTTTAAACTTAGAATCTGATTAAACTAAATATTTTGAAAAGAATAAAAAGCTGTATAATAGATTGAACATATACTTTTGTTGTTGTTGTTGTTAGGCTGCAAAGGTGTGGAAATGCATGTTGTCCAGAATTCAGTGCATTTTGCTCTAAAATATTTATTAAAAACAACATTCTCAATAGTTATTGTGTAATTTCAAATAAAGCACAAATGTTTAAGAATAGTAAAGTTTAAGCATATTACCCTTCTACAATAGTAATAACTTTATGCTCATTATGAACCTCGTAGAATTCTAATAAGTAGGTTATTATGAGAAATAAAAATGAAAAATTTTTGTGACCTGTCAGATCAATACTTTTTCCTTCTTGGGGGACATGGAAAACATTACTTTTTTTTCATCTTGAAAAATACAGAAATAAAATTGTGAATAGCTTAGAAAAACCCAGTTTAACCAAAAATGTTGAGTACTCTAAGGTTTATAAATAACTTCTTTTTTTTCAAAGTAAATATATGTATATTTGGGGAAAAAACAGACATCACTCATATCTCTCCCCATAAAAATAGGAATGCTTAACCTATCAGCCTGTTGCATTTGAGACATTAAAATGAAAAATGACATCTACACCCATTAATATCTTCAATGTATAAACAGCACAGCATGACACATTCTTGAGAGCTGAAGGCCACAAAATCTCTCTGAAACATAAATAACAAAGCACTCAGAAGCATATTTGATGTTGATATTCATCTCTGAGAAAAACACTGCTGCCTAGGCTTTTTATGAAAACAGATGCAGCCCAAATGGATCTCCTGTAATTGGTTTCAGATAGCGAGGTTAGAAGAAATGTGATACAAGAAATGATTATGTGGAACAGGCGAAACAAGAATGTTTACATAAGCACTCCCTAGTTATACTGACAAGGGGTGTATACTTTGCAGATAACCAGGACAACAACAACAAAAAATTGCCAGCAGGACATCCAGAATTTTGCTCTTCATACTCCCATATGACATCTTTAACATGTCACTTTAAAATGATGAACAAAGCATGAGTTTTCCAACAGAATTTCATTTTCTAAGTATTTTCACAATTGTGGTTGTTAGAAAGTATGTTCTGATCCTTCACAAAGGATATTAATTCCTATTCTGTTTGGTCTTTCCTCATATTATGTTCCCACTAAAAAGAATTTACTGATAAATGTAATCATAAGTCTCATAATGCTATTTAATAGAAGAAAATTAATCATCTAATTGTCATAGCCTATTTTCAAACAGCAATCTATCAGAGTGAAATGATGCATCTGTAGCTATTGACCTTTCATTTTATCATGCCTGATACATAATTAGACTAAATTTGTTTGGGAGGGGAGCTAATTACTAGAAAATATTTTTGAAAATAATTATTTCTGTTTTACAGTGTATTTTACATAAAGTTAAAGAACAAATGTGTGGCTATATGGTGTTTATATTGAGA